GTCTGAGTTGTAAATATTGTTAACCTTCATTAACTAGGCGCCTCGTACCCATATTCATCTTGTTTCTTTGCTTCTGGAAACTTCTATTTATCTTCTGAGCCTCTCATTGTCTTTCACCATAAATGTGGATAGATATTCTTGCCTTAAGGCTCCTTATCAAGAGGCTTATACATCTAAGTACACATATGATCTACTGGAGACCTTACATTTACTTATCATAAGCATCATGAAAATCGAGTTTTTCTGAATCAACCTTTCCATAGTCACAGTCAATCTCTTACCACCAATCTTTCTGGATGTAGGCATCGCCATATTATGAATAAGACAGAGTTTAGGAAATTGAGTTCTTACAACTGAGCTCTACCACGCGATCTAGAGTAAGAAGAAAGAGTGACAGTCCTAAATGTCCTGTAACCTCCTGCTTATAAGTGTGGTGCACGATACACCCATAAACAAGACTCTACTAGACACGACTTGTAGACTCCCTATGACAGAACAACTATGATACCACTTTTGTCGCAACCCAAACCAATGGGCCACGACTGGCACCCGGTACCTTACTTAATCGAGTACCAACATAACATATCTTTCTTATTGTACTTTCATTGGAAAATGGGCCAAACGGACCGTCATGGGCTAACCAGAATAAACATTGGGGAATACTCAATACAGGATGACCCAACCTGATATAAAAACTTATATATGTGATATACGGGCCTATAAGGCCAACATGATCATTTGTAAACTCAAAATATAGGCCGGCAAGGCCATACAAACATTCGTATACATGATATCTATCTACAAGCCTCTAAGAGTACATACTTAACATAAAGGTCGGGACAGGGTCCCGCCATACCAAATAATACGCGTCTAAATCATACTGACCAAACAAGCAACTCCGGAACAAATGGAGCGCACCAACATCTTCCACTGAGCTGATAGCCTACTTGGAGGACTCTCGACCTGTCTATCGGACCTGCGGGCATGAAATGCAGCGTCCCCATGCAAAAGGAACGTCAGTACGAATAATGTACCGAGTATGTAAGGCACATAAATAAGTACATAAAAGACATAGAAGAAATATAGAGTAAATGACTCAACATGTAAGTCTGGATAACTCTGTAAATCATGAAATACTTATAGTGACATGCATATGCATATGAATATCATGTCGTGTGTAGGTACATGTGTTCATAATATCATCAAGCCTCGAGGGCATCCCATCATATCATCTCGGCCACTGTGGGCAAATCATCAACGTATACCAACTGATCAGGTGGTGGTGCGTATATAATGTCGTAACCTTTTCCCATATCCCATATACATATATACGCGTATATAACGCCATCTGGTAATGGATCAATGTACATGTATAAATGAATGCAATGCATGAGAAGTACATCAATAAAATATCTCGGCATGTCATAAGACCATTATACCTCTGATTAATATCATGAAATAAACTTTATCAACTTACGTATTTTTTGAGACCCATGAACAGACGACAGAATAATAAGACATATGGAAATTCAAGAACATAGTCGTCTCTAATACGTCTATGAATAGAGTCATTCGTGGAAGTTGTGCATTTGCTCGTTTCATTCGTGTCGTATAAATCATGCCAAAAAGAAAGAAGGGATAGCCTTAACATACCTGAACCGGTTCTCTTGACAATCCCTCTAACACACGTCACTTGCGACAACACGTAATGGCGGATCGAAGTAGAAAAAAATCCGTATGATATTCTTGAGAAAGATTACACCATACTCGTTTAGAATCACAAAATCCCGTTGCTATAACATTACATAGTCTCATATGAATTTTGTGGTAGCTTCACCCATAACTTAGTAAATATAAACATTCCTCTTTGAAGCTTAAGAGCAATATTATGAAATTGGAATGGAACAATTGCTTACTTCAAGCAAGGAATGATTAGGTCGCAACATTCCTTGGCATTTCTTGATAACTTTCTTTTACCAAATGAGGTGAAGTGCCTAAATCTTTAAATTTTGCCATCTTGCCATTTAATTAAGAGTCACCTAGTGGTTCTTATATGGCTGACACGTAAGTGGTTATAAGACTTATTCAAAAGTCATCCACTTAATTTCTTAATCAATTCATTAATCTTCACTAGTCCAATAATTAATTAATTATCCACATAATTAAGAATTATAATAAAATGCTACTTACTTTTAATACACTTTATAAACTTTACTATCATGGCCATGTGGTTCCTTGTATGGCACTAGTCCATAAATACGGGGTATTTATAGCTTAGGCCGTATTTTATCCCAAAATATCAAATTTCGACGAAATTTATTTTCTTTGATTTGCGCACCCTCTCACCTCCACGAATTTACTTATCACTTGTTTGAAATAGTACAATCCTTATAATCTCACAATAATCTAATTTTCGAACTTACGTCGATTAACTTACGGCGAAACTTTATCGTACGAAAATGCCGGATGTAACAATTGTAGTCAACTTTCAATTACCGGATTGATGTTGGGAAAGGGAATTAAAATTGGGGTTGAAAGAGAAAATTAAAACTTGAGAGTTTTCTGGTGAATCTTGGTCTGGTGGGTCACGTGAGGGGTAAGAAGTTTTAGCTTTTGATAAGCTTTTCCTTGGCTAAAGTTCTTTTGCTTCAAGTCCCACTTTACTGTTTTTCCTTATAGGTGGTGGGTATTTTTCTGACAAGCCTTATTTTTCACAAAAATCTTGAATTTTCCATTTCCTTGCACAGTGCTCTTACTTTGGTTCTCCGCCCCACGTCATTTACACACTTGCCTTTCTGAAATTAAAATTTCAAAATGGCAAGTGATTCTTCGCCAACAGATGGTATTAAACCATCTTTTATCTCAATTTCAAATTCTTCCACTATTATAACTGTTAGATTACAAGATAGTGATAATTACACACCATGGTCTTCTTCGGTTGAGATGTGGTTTATGGGACAAGGATATAAAGATCACTTAGTCAAAAGTGCTAGCGATATTGATACTATTGAAAGGGCTAAGTGGACTCGCATTGATGTACAATTGTGTAATCTTTTATGGAATTTTTTGGATCCTAAATTACTCAAACTTTTCCAGTCTTGTAAAATTTGCTACAGATTTGGACTAAAGCTAAGGCTTTGTATACGAATAACGTACAACGTATATACAAAGTTGTCTCAGATCTAGTCCTACTGCAGCAGTATAATCAAGATATGGCGAGTTATTTAGGACAAATAGATACTCTGAAGGATCAATTTGATTGTCTTATGCCACATTCTTCAAATATCACTACGCAAGAGATCAAATCTTGTCAAGTCCCATAATTCCTTCCCTTATAGACGTATCTGCTCGGTTGTTGCGCAACTATTCAGAAACAATTGATACTAATAAAGCTGAGATATCCGTGTTAGCTGTGCAAAATGATGATCCACAGGGACAAATGTCTATCAAAGGGGAAAAGGTAAAAGCTCTAGACCTTACTACAACTATTGCAACAAGCCCGGCTATACTCGACAAACTTGTTGGAAACTACATGGTCTACCAACACGTCCTAACAATCGCAATGTTGCTCATGTAGTTCAAACTCGTAATGACATAAATGGTCAACAAGCCAATTATATTACTTTGTCTGGAGCGAATTATAGTGATTATTTGTAGTATCAAGAGGCTAAACAACAGTCTTTTCATCAGACATATCACAAACTGGTAATTTCTTTGCTTGTTTGACCAAGTCTTCACCCATTGGCCCATGGATATTGGATCCTGGTGCATTGACCATATCTCTGGTAATCAAAATCTTTTCTCAAACTTTGCTCACTCCCCAACATTCTCTGCAGTAACTCTTGCTACTGGCTCACGAGCTGAAGTAAAAGGAGTAGGGAAAGTGCAACCTCTTCCCTCTATTCTCTAAACTCAATTTTATTTGCTCCTCAATGCCCATTGAATTTGGTTTCCTTTAGCAAATTAACCATAACTCTCATTGTTCTGTCACCTTTTTTGCTAACTCCGTTATTGTGCAGGACCGGAGTATGGGAAAGACGATTGGAATAGGATATGAGTCACAGGGACTATATTACTTGTCCAAACACAACCTCCAGTTGCCTTCATTCCGCTGCCTCAGCTGATCTTCTCCACAGCCGATTAGGTCACCCGAGTCTTGCAAAGCTTCTGAAGTTAATTCCTAGTCTTTCACATTGTCGTATATTGAATGTGAATCTTGTCAACTTGGGAAACATACTCGCACTTTGTTTACAAAAAGAGTCAATAATAGGGCCTCGTTTATGTTTAACATTGTTCACTAAGATATATGAGGTCCTAGTCGTGTTGTTTCAAGTTTGGGGTTTCAATATTTTGTTACCTTTATTGATGACTTTTCTCGTTGCACATGGGTATTTTTAATGAAAAATCGTTCTGAACTGTTTGCTATTTTCCAAAAATTTTGTGCTGAGATAAATAATCAATTTGGTGTTTCAGTAAAGGTATTACATAGTGACAATGCCAAGGAGTACTTATCATCTCCATTTGATAACTTTATGTCGTCTCAGGAAATCACTCATCAAACTTCTTGTGTATATACTCCTCAACAAAATGGGGTCGCCGAACGTGAAAATTGGCATCTCATTGAAACTACGCGTACCCTACTTATACACCAACATGTTCCTCTTCGTTTTTGGGGGATGTCGTTCTCACTGCTTGTTATCTAATCAATATAATGCCCTCAATTGTGTTGCAACATCAAAGTCCTCACTCCATTCACTTTCCATGTCAATATCCTTATCATCTACCTTTAAGAGTGTTTGGATGTACTTGTTTTGCTCATGATCACAACCCTGGAAATGATAAACTCCACCCAAAATCAATTAAGTGTGTCTTTCTAGGATATTCTTATACCATAAAGGTTACAAGTACTACAATCCAAAAACAAATAAATATTTTACTACTCCAGATGTAACCTTCTTCGAAACATCTCCTAATTTTTCCCTAAACGCTACAAGCAAAAATTTAATTCCTTAAGTATTGCCAGTACCTATACTTCCTATGCCATAGATCAATCTTCCAAACAACCTTGAAGTTGCTCCTCCTCCTCTTCAAGTAAACTCTCTTCGTTCTCGTCTTCCTGATCTTAGTAATGATAGCACTACTCTTGTTCCTAATATGATAGTAGCTCCCGATGAAACATCTCTTGCACCTTAGTCACCTGCTCCAGTTGCCTTCATCAGATGCAGTAACTCCACCAATTTCCATACGCAAAGGTATACGCACTACTCAAAGACCAGTAAGATATAAATGTTTAAGTTATCATCGATTGTCCCCTTTATATTTTATTTTGTATCTTCCTTGTCTAATGTGCCTATACCAAAGACTGTTGACGAAGCATTACAACATCCAGGGTGGAGAGGTGCTATGATCGAAGAAATGACTGCTCTAGAAACCAATAACACTTGGGCATCAGTCCAGTTACCGGAGGGAAAATCTATCGTTGGATGTCGATGGATATACACAGTAAAGGTAGGATCGGATGGAACTATTGATCGGCTAAAAGCACGCCTTGTTGCCAAAGGATATACCCAAATGTATGGCCTTGACTACGGCGACACATTTTCTCCGTTGCCAAGATTGTATCTGTCTGATTGCTTATCTCCTTAGCAGCAATGCGTCATTGGCCACTTCATCAACTAGATATTGATGCATGCCGGATGAGCATGCCTAACAATTTGCAAGTCAACATCATAGCATTTGAGTGATTTAAAGGAGTTAAGATCAAGAAAGCTATACTTGTAATAAATGACTAAGCTCCTTAGAATTAGCTTAAGGGTATTTGGGTCATTTGTGGCCAAATACCCGCTCTAGTATAAATGGCCCGTAAGGCTTTTATTTTAGGTAGACTTGATGAATGATAAACTTGAAGACATGCAAGTCTCACCCTTTATCCTTGTCTTTTAATTAATGCATTTATGTTTATACCTTCAATTTCTTTATTGCTTTCATTAGTGCTTGATGAAGCTTCTGTATATATGTGATTTTCTGCTCATACTCTGTCAAATTCTAGTATAGTTTATGATATCGTCCCACAGAGATTGGACAATCTAAGCTACAGATTTTTAATATTTTGACTACTATTTGAGATAACCAAATTGATAAAAGGTGTGTTTGGAATTATAAATTAAGACAAATTTCTTCTGAAAAGTTTATATTTAAAAAGAGTTGGGAATCGTTGAATTCACTTGATATATCATTACAATAAAATCTCAATTTTATATACGTATTTCTCTAAAGAATAATTGCTTATTGCTAATACAATTAGATTTTTACACTAAGAAATAAATAAATAATTAACAGTCCGTGAGGTTATGTCAATTAATTGATTTAAAACTAGTGACGATTAAACTGAAATATCTTGCCTGAATTGTGCTCAAGCGTAGTAAAAACTTCGTGAGAATATTTTTAATAGAAAATCAATAATCTTGCCTTCAACAATTCCTGCGTGAGAATTAAAACCGAGAAAAGCAAGATTACAGACTTGAAATAATAATCTTACTGAAAATTGCTTTCACTCTAATATCTGTGCTCATGTGTAGTAAAAACTTCGTGAGAATATTTTTACTAAAAAATCAATAATCTCGTCTTCAACAATTCCTCCGTGAGAATTAAAACTGAGGAAAGCAAGATTACAGACTTGAAATAATAATCTTACCAAAAATTACTTTCATTCTAATATTCTATTCATCAGTTATTATTTATTAATTTTGCTCCGTGAGAATGACAAAATTAATATAAGAATAACTTAGATATAAAATATGTAGATGTGATAATAATGATTAAAAAATCATCATTCCAGCACAGTATGAAATGTAAATAGAGTTTCAGGCCAAGAATGTATTGAAACTGAGATAGTATTATAATGATATCAAGCTTTATCAACTATCCCTATAAAAAAAAATTACTCCATTATAAAGTAAGAAAGGCTAAAAAATACTTTCAAAAAAACTAGAATATTTTTACTACAAAGAGAGACTAGAGGGAAAGACTAAGGTTACTCTTCTCTTTCTCTTTAGAAGCTTAAAAAAAACTAGATAGGAAATTGGATACAAAGTGGGATGTCTTTCTTCTACAAATATATGGCTATTTATAAGAAAATTCCTACAAGGCCTTGGTGAGAAATTGCAATATAATATCAATATATCATATGGCCTTGATGAGAAATTGATATGGCAATTTGTCATGAAATTTTGGTGAGAATTTGCCATAACTTTTGTATCTCTTGACTTTGTGTAGTCTTAGATGAAATTGTCACGGATGCATCCTTCTTCCTTGAACTGTAGGTTCTTTCTTTTTCTCTTTTTCCATGTATTCTTTTTCCTGCGAGAATTGTTAGAAAAGTGCGAGAATAGGATATAAATTGGTCATGTTTTATATCTAAAATATTATATTTTTATATTAAAATATATGAATAATTTATATCCATCAGTGCTAAATTAGTCTTAGTTGGTGAGCAATTAGTAGTGAATGCTTAATTGCTTAATTACTTTATCGGATTTTCAAGAGTTGCCAATCTCTTGTGGGCATCATAGCATATGGTTACAATTGATTGAGTTCATAGAGGTAATTAGGCTTCATATCCTAATTGGTTCTTGTTCTTCCAATCAATTGTAGGTCTGGCTCTTATGTTAATTGCTTATGCGTACAACTGATTGAGTTCATAGAGGTAATTTGATGCCCAATTGTTGGGTATCAGCTGATAGTTACCGCTCCGTTTTCCCCATTTCTGCTTCTAATTGCTTTAATTATTGGTTCATATGTGATCGGGTTGGTTGGCTCGGGTTCGAAAAGGTTTTGAGAAGGTTTGAGACACTTGGTCTCTTTTAAGAAGGCTTAAGTTGGAAAAGTCAACCGGACGTTGACTTATGTGTTAGAGGGCTCGGATGTGAGTTCCGATGGTTTGGAAAGCTTCGGGAGATGATTTGGGACTTAGGAGTGTGATTGGAATGTGTTTTGGAGGTCCGGAGTAAATTTAGGCTTGAATTGGCGAAATTATATTTTTGGCGTTTTCCAGTTGATAGGTGAGATTTTGATATAGGGGTCGGAATGGAATTCCGGAAGTTGCAGTAGCTTCGTTATGTAATTTGGGATGTACGTGCAAAATTTCAGGTCATTTGGACGTGGTTTGGTTGGGTTTTTGATCAAAAGCGGAATGCGGAAGAATTTAGAACCTTAAGCTTGAATTCGATGAGTTTTGGTGGTTTTGATGTTGTTTTAGGTGTTTTAAAGATTGGTACAAGTTTGAATAAAGTTACGGGATATGTTGGTGCTTTTGGTTGAGGTCCCGGGGGCCTTGGGGTGATTTCGGATGGTTGACGGGGAGTTTAAAATTTTTTTGCAGCTGCTGTATTTTGCCGCTTCTGGTATTTCCGCACCCGCGGATAAGGGACCGCAGGTGCGGCGCCGCATAAGCGAACGAGGGGCCGTAGAAGCGGTCAAAGGTACGTTGGTCAGGAAACCGCAGAAGCAGCTAGGAGGACCGCATCTGCGATGTCGCAGATGCGGGTGTGGAACCGCAGATGCGGGAAACGAGGTGCTTAAGTGATTTCCGCAGAAGCGGATCAAGAACCGCAAATGCGGTACCGCAGATGCGGTGGGATAACCGCTGATGCGGAAATGTCTGGTCAGATTATATTAATTCCTCCTTCGCGATTTTCAGAGGGTTTCTCACTTTTTAACACGAAATTTTGGAGCTTTGGGTGATTTTGAAGAGAGGAAATCATTGTTATTCAGTAAGGTAAGGATTTTGGACCCCAAAAATCGATTATTTTTTATTAAGGAACAAAATATCAGTGTTAAATTCATGAAAATCAGTAGAAAAAGGTGGAGTTAGGGCTTGAGATTATGATACCTTCTAGGGATGATTTGAGGGGTCAAACGAACTCCGATTTTCGAGTTCTTTATATGTATGGACTTGTGAGATGATGAAGAACATTTTGGTATAATGTTTGTCCAGTTCCGGGACGCAGGCCCGGGGGACGAGTTTTGACTGATTTCGGGTTTTGTGCTTAAAATCGATATTTTTCAATTGGAATTCATTCGTTTAGCATAATTTGATGATAAAAATCTGAACTTGGTAGATTTGGAGCACTCGGAAGTTGGTTCAAGAGGCAAGCGTGTTGCAGAGTAGCTTTTCAGGCTAGTTCGAGGTGAGTAATGATTTTAAATGCTGCCCTGAGGGTATGAAACCCCGGAAATTTCATAGCGTACAGCTATGTTGAGGTGACTCACACGCCAGATGACGAGCGTGGGGTAGAGCACCGTTGGGGATTGTGACTTAGTCCATCCCAAATGACTATTTTACTGTGTATTTAATAGCTAATTGTTTGATATCATTTTATTTTGGGCTAAATGCTATATTTGGGCTTCGTGCCAACTATTTGAACCCTTAGGGGATCTTAAATAATATTTTCCTCACTGTTTGATTTCATACTGGTGCTCAGTCATGCTATATTTTTACTATTTTCAAAACTCAGCTATGTTATTCTGTTTTAAACACATTAAATAATATTTTGAGCTGAGCTTCATGTTTTACTGATGCCCGAGGGGCTTATGAGATTCTGACTAAGTAAGGTCGAGGGCCTGTATTGTGAGGATATATTTGGGTCGGGCTGCACGCCGCAACAGTGATACACTGATTATGATAATGAGGCCGAGGGCCTGAGATTGTACGCCACGAGGTGGCTTGAGATTGATATGAGGCCGAGAGCCTGTTTATGATGCCACGAGATGGCTTGATTATGCGCTTGGGCTGTAAGGGGCCCATCCCGGAGTCTGTACACCCCAGTGAGCGCGGGTACCCATTGTGATATGAGAGATAGCCCGAGGGTCTGGTATTGATATGTGATATTGCCCGAGGGGCTGATTTTGTTGTTACTGTGCCCGAGGGGCAGTTATTATGTGTTTACTTTTTAGTTGTTTTCTTGTATATTGTTTAACTGTTTAGAAGATGTTTATGAGGTTTCACTGCTCAATTATATTTACTGATTTGTTATGCCTCTATTAGCTGAATGTTGTGCTTTACGTGGTTTTATATTACTCAGTCTTCATTTATTTTTATTACTCACTGAGTTGGAGTACTCACTTTACTCCCTGCACCGCTGTGTGCAGATTCGGGCGCTACAGGTCCTGCTCCTGAGGATTGATAGTTCCAGCAGGTCTTCGGAGATTTACTAGGTAGCTGCTTGGCGATTCGCAGCCCAGTGCATTCTTCCTCTATCTTAGTTCTTTTTTATTCAGTTATGTAGTAGTGGATTAGACTTCAGATTTCTAGTATTGTTTTAGACTTCGGAATCACTCCTACAAGGCATAAAACACACAATTAGTGCAAAACACTAACGATTAAAACGCCAACTCAACTAAAGTGCAGTAAATTTGAGTGTAATAAGCGACTAAAATACGTAATTATAGCCTATCATCAACACCCCACACTTAAACCATTGCTCGTCCTCGAGCAATCAAACTACACTTTATATAGACACGACCTTTTTAAACAATTCTCCTAACTCATCACACCAAGAGTATTTAAAATAGACTAAGCACAAAAGCGTAACATCTTCACCTCAAGATTTGACTCACAAGTACCACGCATTATTCACAACTCACCCACTTACTCTAATATAGAGATCACTGACGTTACCTTTCCTTCATGAATCAAGTGCCCTCACACAACAAAAGAGAGTAGTTCCACACAATAAAATTTAAGAACACTTAGGAACTCAAGATAGAAAGTATTCACTCACTCTCAAAAATAACATTCATATGCCACAAAAGATGCACCATAAGCTTGCCCGTAGTGTACTACTCCACTAATCGAGCTCATTCAATCTAGGATCAATTAGGACTTTATTTGGTTGTAATGTAGGCTACGGGACGGGTAGGATACCTTTA